TGTATGTAATATACATATACCTGTAATTAAAATACTTGATGATATATCTGTAATTAAAATAAAATGATAGTATGGAGGAAGCCTGCCAAAAGAAAAGATTCCATGCCATTAATCTGGTCTGAAATGGATTTTCATAATTTTCTCCCCTAAAAGCTAGAGGTGCAGCAGAGCTATGTCAAAATCAGAGAAAAAATATTGACTATTTGTCCTGAAGTCTTTGACTCTTTCAAACCCCATAGCTGCTCACCTGTTGATTTTCTTTTCAAAACAATAACAGCTCATTTATATATTGCTTCACAGCTTAAAAAGTGTTTTTTGTCAATGGCTGTGATGTGTTATTTCCTCCCTCCTCACATACACACATTTTCCTGGTTTCTTTTCCCTGCTAAACACACACACACACACACACACACACACACTCTCTCTCTCTCTCTCTCTCTCTCTCTCTCTCTCTCTCTTACAGTGACCAACCTCTGGCATGTGGGTGAGTTCTGGCTCTTGTCTTAAATGAGAGATGATATATTTCCTTTCTTATATGATGATAGTACCAAAATTAAATTGAAAAGTGACTATTGTATACCATGAAAGTCTCTGCATTTGTTTGTGCCAGCCTCTATCAGTATTTATATTTGATTTTTTTATTCTTGCCTTTCACCTTTCCATTTTCCTTTTCTTAGCTTCTATTCCCTTAACTAATCATAATACAGAATTTAAGTGTATTCATTTTATATTTTCTCCTTGATCTTAACATAATGATATAAGTGCAATATTTATATTTTAATACCTCAAATTAAGCTTACTTCAGTTTTTTTCTTTTCATGGATAGGGTGGGATGCCATCAAAAATAGCTACCTTATCTCCAGCCTATAAAGTCAAATTTGAACTATTTGATCTGGCATTCGAAGTCCTCCACTGGCTAGTCCTTTCTTATCTATGTAGCAGGTGAATTTCCTTATTTTACTGAACATGTGCCTTTGTTTAAGTTACTCACCTTCCTTGAAGTGATTTCCCCCTCTTTTTTCACCAGGCCAAATCATATACTTCTTTCCAGGCCCAGAAAAAAATTCACTTCAAAGTGACTACATTTGTAAGTGAGGGCTGAATCACTTGAATTTTTACTGTATGTTAGCTCCTTAACTAGGAGCTCAGGTTCTCAAGTTCAGGTTCTCCTCTTTTTTTGAATGGAGTACAGAAATATAACCCCAGTTCTCAAGGAGTTTACAATCACTTTGAACAAAAACTAACAGACATGAAACAAGTCCAGGCAATTAAATAAGTGAATACTGACAATAAGTATAACTGGAGAGCTAGGGAAGAGAGGAGATAAATATACTAGGAACCTCACAGGATTGTTATGAGAAGGAAATAAGAGAATGTATGTAAAGCATATGGAAATCTTCATTGCTATTTGTGTCACCTATAATTTTGGGAGGCAGCTTAGAGAGATTTACAATGTAGCCCTGGATTTTGAGTCAGGAAGACCTGGGTTTGAATCCTGACCCTAATACTTATAAGCTGTTTGACTTTGGGCAAGTCACTGTACTCTTTTTTCATCTAGAAAATGTAAAAAAAAAAAAAAAAAAAAAAAGCACAGGGAAGATTTTTATCAAGGACTTGTATAAAGGCCTAGCTGGAATTCTTATCAAATTTACAGATAACACAGAGCTTTGGGGCATAGTTAACATTGGATGACAGGATCCAAAAAAGAATTTGATAGGTTAGATCATTACACAGAATCTAATAAGATTAAATTCAATAGGGAATAACACTTGGGTTCAAAAAAGAGTGGCTAGATAGTAATTTGAAAAAGATCTGGGACTTCGTACCAGGGGTGGGGAACCTGGGGCCTCAAGTGCAGCCCTTTGACTGAATCCAAATGATTTGTTCTATGAAGTTTGGATTCAGTCAGAGGACCTCACTTGAGGACTTAGAAGGCCATACGTGGCCTCAAGTCTGCAGGTTTCCCACCCAAGACTATAAGACCAATGTAAGTCAACAGTTTAATATGGCAGCCAAAAAAGCCAATTAATCTTGGATTACATTGAGATGCATAGCATTCCAAGAATGAGGAGCTAGTGGCCCCTCTGTACTTCTCCGTGGAGTAATTACATCTGGAGTAGTGTATTCATTTTGGGTACCATAATTTGAAAATGACATTGAACAGCTGGAGAGTAACTACAGGAGGACAACCAAGCTAGTGAAGGACATCGTGTCCATAACATTCAAGGATTGCTTGAAGGAAATTTAGGCTTGATGTTAAGGAAAACTTCTAGACTTAGGTATCTAACAAATGAACTAGGCTGTTTTAGGAGGTATTCACTTTAGCTTAGAGAAGACCAAGGGTAAGGGGGAGGGGACAAGATAACTATTTCTTAAGAATTGGAAGAATGGGCATGTGGAACAGGGATTAGATTTGTTCTTTTGTACCCAGAAGAGGTGGAAGTTTCAAAGAGGCTTGACGTCATTCAAAACAATCCTAGCAATTAAGGCTGTCCAAAAGTGGAATGGGCTACCTGAGGTGTTATGAGTTCCTCCCTAAAAGGTTTGGTAACTACTTGTTAGGTATGTTGTAGTGGGGTCTTGGGAATGGGGGGTGGGGTGTGGCTGGGAGGTCTCTTTCAACTTTAATTCTATGGTTCTATTAAAATGAAGATAGCACTTATATTACCTAATTCATGTGGTTGTTATTGTAAGGAAAGCACTTTGTAACCCATAAAGCAATATACAAATTTGCGCAGTCATTTTTCTGAAAATTATAAAGCATCATATGATGCAATAGCTGTCCTTTATACAGGTCCTATGAGCAATATAAAATGGCATTTACATTAGATAAGTGTTGAGCATACATAGAATAAAAAAGCATTCCAAGTAATAGGGAATGAGCCAAGCTTTCTGTAAGATGAGCCTTGACCAAGGTTTTGAAGTCAAGTGAGAGAATTCTATGTCCAGTGATGGAAGCAATCAGATTTTATGTAAGATTTATGTGGGAGATGTTAAGGAAGATTATAGAGGACATATTGGGGAGTAAAGAGAGATGATGAGGTTGGAGAAGTGTATGTGGAGGAGCCCGGTTAATGGGTACATTTTAATGCTAAAGCAGATATCACACACAATTATGCAGCCTGTCCCAAAGTGCTAGATTATAAACTACAGATGAAAAATTCAATCAGAACTCTCAAAGGTGGGGCTCACTGTGGTCTGGGGTAATCATGGAAAGCTTTGTGGAAGAGGTTGGATTAAAAGATCTCATAAATTTCTTTCTAGCTTTATGCTCTGTCACTTTGAGGTGAAATTTTTTCTGGAGCTGGAAAGAAGTATATGATTTGGACTAATGGAGAAAATTATGTGTCGAAGTGGCTTGGAATCAGGAAGACTCATCTTCATAAGTTCAAATCTGGGCTCAGACAATTACTAGCTGTGTGACCCTAGTCAAGTCACTTAACCCTAGGCAAGTTTGCCTCAGTTCCTCATCTGTAAAATGAAGGGGAGAAGAAAACTTCGAACCATTCTGGTATCTTTGCCAAGAAAATCCCAAATTGGGTCGAGGAGAGTCAGACAAGACTGGAAAAAACAACTTTACCACAACAAAAAGTAGAGAAAGAAGGGGAAATCCCTTCATGGAATGTAAATAACTTGAACAAAGACCCATGTTCCTTACAGTAAGGAAATTCAACTGCTAAATAGATAAGGAGGGACTAATGGGTTCAGGACCTTGAATGCCATATAAATATATCATCTTATCATATATGCAGGTCAAATGAAGGTAAGGAAAGGGCCAGATCTCATCCAACATCCGGAAGTAAAACAATTGATAAACACTCCCCCAAAAAAGAAGTTTTTAATGATTTTTTTTAACATCACCATAATTTTCCCCAGTATTTCTCCTCCTCAGAGGTTGGTCATTGAAAGGGTGTGTGTGTATGTTTTAAGTAGCGAAGAGAAACAAAATGTGTGTATGTGAAGGAGGAAATAACAGAAGCTGTTACTGTTTTGAAGGAAGAAGCAACAGGTGAGAAGCTGGAGGATAAGAGTTCAAAACTCTGAAAGGAACGCGGAATAGTGATATATTGGGAGTCAGGACCTACAATCAAATCCCAGCTGTGCTATTACTTTTGTGACCTTGGGCAAGGTATTTTGCTTTATTTATTTATTTTTTCTATATGAAGAAACCGAGGGAATTGAGTCAAAGGGGCTATCAGATCTCTTGCTGCTGGAACTTGAAACTAACACATAAAATAGATAGGGCCGCTGCAGGTTCTTCAGCTGGGAGTGCAACATTGAAAATTGTATTCGTTAAGTGGAGCTCGGAAAGAAGGGATATGAGAAGATGCTCCCCAGCCCGCTAGGGGTTGCAGGCTCACAGTTTGTCGTACAATGCCAGATTATTTATTAATTTTTTTTGATGCAGTTATTAGTTATGTTGATTTTCCCTCTTTTCGACTTAAAAATACTATTTGTTACATGGAATGATTCTCTGGAAGGGGAAGGAAGAGAAATACTGGGGAAAACTATGGTGATGTAAAAAAAAAAACATTAAAAACTTTTTTTTTTAAATAGGGAACGGTGCTCACCGGCGATTATTCTGCCTCCAGATGTTGGGACAGGAAGAGGCAGCAGACGGACCATGTCAGATAAAGCCCTCGGATTGCCAAGGGTCTCTGGCACGAGAGGGGTGTGATGGGGCAGGGCAGGGAGTAGGTGACTGGGCGTCGGGAGAATGAGTATACGCTCCAGAAAGCCGAGCGAAGCCCTGGCAGGTCCGAGTTTGGAGGCCACGAGGCCAGAGTGGCCGGCCGAGATGCAGCATTGGCCGGGCGAGCGAGCCGGTCCACTTGCAGAGGTGGCACCCAAAGTGCGAGCAACTGGGGTAGCGGGACCCGCCCCCGTCCGTTACGCAGCCCGAGTGAGCTTCGGAGCAGGGGAAGGGGGAGGAGGGGCAGGGAGCCGCCCTCGGAAAACACTGGAACCTCCGAAGAAAGCGTTGGAAGACCCGGGAAACTGGAGTAAAAAGGCGGCCCCTGGCAACTACTTTTCTCCAAGATACGCCGAGACTGAACCCAGCGCCGAAAAGAGTCAGGAGCAGTGGCACCAACCAAAGCCAGTCAGACCTCTTCTGAGTGACAGGCTGCGGGAATGTGGGCGGAGCCTCAGAGACCGGGTCAGTGATTGGAACAGGCAACCATTCCCTGGATAGGTAGAGAGATGGGGCGGACGTCAGGCCCTTCTCTGAGATTGGCTCCTCGCGGAGGAATACTGGCGCTGTGCCGAAGATTGGCGGGCGGGAGGTGAGTTTATCCAGGAGTTTCCTCTTCTGCGATTGGCAAATGGGAGTAGGCGGGACGTAGTGTAGGGCTGCGGATTAGCTCGCTGTGGAGAATATGGGCACTGGATAGGGAAGGGAAGAGAAGAGAAGGGAGGGGGAGGATTTGCGCTCCTCGGTTGGTTATTGGAGGGATGGGGGTGGATGCGATGGCCAAGCGGAAGCCTGGGGTTGGCTGACCAGCCTGTGATTGACGGACAGCGGGGCGAGCTGCGCGACCTGAGGTTTGTTTTTTCGGAGCGTTCCTGAGGTGGAGAACTGCAACCGGACGGACGGACGGAGGAGAGACCCGGGGACTGACTGGCTGACGGAACGGGCCGGGCTGGACTGAGTCCGGTCTGGAATGTAGCGGGCCGACCCGCCCATGCCCCAGCGCCCGGCCGGAGCCGGAGCCGGAGCCGGAGCCGGGGGATGTGGCGGGGGCCTTGAGCGCCGCCCGCACCCCCTGCCCGGAACCAGGCCCGCAGCCCTCGGCATGCAGCCGCGGCTGTGGAGGTGACACCCCGGAGTCGAGGAGCTGACCCCGCGGCGGCGGCAGCCGCCTCCGCCACCATGGGTGAGTGTCGACTGTGCCCCGCCCCGCCGCGCGCCCAGGGCTGGATCCCGGGGGGCCGGGCCCGGGGTTCCGCGCCCCGCCCGTTGCAGCCTCCCGGGGCGGGGGCCCCCAGCTCCGCCCGCCCGTCCCGGGAGGGGAGGCCCCGGCCCCGGCCCCGCGGAGGAGCCTTCTTGGCGCCCCTCGCGGCAGCTCCTTCCGGGGGCCGTTCGGCGGGAAGGTCTCAGGAAAGGGGCGCCCGCAGCGGGGTCACAGGAGGGAAGCCGGGGCTCCCGGCACCGCCGGGGCGAGCGGAGCGGATGGGGGGGGGAGCCCCGAAGCCCGGGAGGGGGGGCGGGCTCGGCCCGGCCCCGATGCAGGCCCAGCTGCTGCGGTGTCTTTTCCTTGGTTTGTGCCTCTCCCCGCCCGCCCCGCCTGTGTCATTTCCTTCCCTTGGCTCGCTCAAGCTGGCTAGTTCCCGGGGCTCGATCTTTCTCTGTCTATGGTCCCTAGTGGGAAGGCAGCCTGGGAGGGAGGAGGAAGGGAGAGGGACAGGCTGAGGCTTCTCTCGCTCGTTACGATATATTTGAAATGGCTCAGTTTTTATTGCAAAAGCCCTTTTAATGAGTTCTGACTTAAAAAAACAACCACCAATAAATGTAAGATAAATGATTTAACGAAAGTTACATTCCAGAGATGCTTGGGGAAGCAGTGTTTTCAAACTAATTAGTGTTGCAGAAAGTACAGTGGAAGGAGGCATTGAAAACACGTTTTATTTTGTTTTTCCAAACAGTAGTTAAGGTTAGAAAATCCTTAATGGTCAGGATGTTTCATTTATAAATTGCATATCACTTCTTATCAAGTTGCAGCATTTTATATTAACCACTTTTGTCTTGCTTTTATATCCATTCCCTTAACTGAATGAAGATAATATGTGTGCAGCGCTTTGCAAACCCTAAAAGGATTTGTTATATAGATAACACATATTATCTAAGGAATATATATAAATATAAAAATTATATATGATGCTCTAAATAGCTGTATGTAAGTCTATCTCTATGTAATAGCGATCTATAATAGTACTATTATACTATTACGCAAAATAGCACTGTTGTGTACGTAATATGTTAATTTACATATAGCTATATAGAGAGCATTTATATAAATGCTAGTTATTACTATTACAATATTTTGTATAGTAATAAATATTCACCTCACAAAAGGATGATTTCTCTAATTTCTTTTATGGTATTTACAAATTATGCTGCAAAGCCTTATTCTAGGAAGTGTTTCCAACGTATTCCATACATAGCCATAAGCCTTATGATAATATTTTATATCCTCTCTGATAACCAGTAGAATATAAACTCCAGGAGGACAGGAACTATTTAGGGGTTTTTGTTTGTCTTTTTGGTCTTTGTATCCCCCAGGGCCTACCACGGTTTTGTACGTGGTAGTCATTTGATAAATGTTGATTTTAATTATATTGAACCAACTGTTTGAAATCAGGTGCAGTACTACTGACTATTTTTCAAACATACCTCACTTTTCTATTACTCTGTTATCTTGATACATAGTTTAATAAAGGAAGAAAATCTACATTGAAAGGGTCAAAGACAGTAGAGTTTTCCAAACAAAGAATAGGAGACTGTTGAGAAATGGAAGGGATATTAACATTCACCTAGTTCAGCCATGACATTTTACAAATGAGGGAACTGAGGACCCAGAGAGATTAAGTGACTTGTCCAAGATCACTCTCGGGATTAGTTGCAGAACCAGCCAAGACACACTGCATGTATTGGCTCTCAGACTGCACTATACTGCCTTCAGTTTGTTAATGAGGTCCTGTAGAACAAAATCATATTCGTGCTGGAGTTAAGATAGATTCCTTTTTATCTCCTGGACCTGTTTTTTGTTGTTGTCTTGTTGTTAGGGCACAAGATTAAATTAGATGCTGAGGAATAGTTCTTAATAAAAGTCATTTTTATTATTACCCATCATTACATGTGTCTTGGACACATTGCAGATGAGCATTGTATCGTGCACTGAATTGGATAGAAGAAAGAGAACAGGCTAGATTTCATTTAGGAAATTATACACTGCTTTTAATGACCCCACTCTTTTCTGTGACACCAAATCTCATCTTTTTAACACTGATATTCTTCCAGTGATGTTATATGGTTGTGAAGCATAGAATTCTATGATCTTTTAAGACTCAAAGGATTATAGATTTTAGAACTAAAAACAACCATCAAGTAGAACTACCTTGCTTTACAGGTGAGGAAACTGAGCTTGAAAGGAGTTAAGTGAATTGCCCTGGGTTACATAACTTGAAAGTGCCTGAGGCAGAATTTGAACTCAGGTCTTCTTGACTGCGTGGTGTCCATCATTATATCTGCCATACCACCTCAATGCTTTAAAATTGTAGTTCATTCAAAGGGCAGTGGATAGACTCATTGTGTGAATAAGCAGGCTGCAGCATACCACCAATGAAGAATTATGCTCAGGAAACAACATAAAAAATATTGAAGAGATACATAAGGAAAAGGAGGTGGGCTGGTCATGTAGTGAGAATGAGAGATAATAGATAGAGAGTCCATGTAATATCCCAGTGCTACCCATATAATATCAAGAGACCTTGAAGAAGACTCCTAGCATGTTGAGTTGACCATCTGTGAAATAATTTATGGGAACACATGCACCAGAGACACAAGATGAGGAGGCCTCAATGGCTCGTGATCTGAATCACTGGAGGGAGTGCCCATACCAGTAAGATCACAGGTCATCAAAATATTGAAATATCCTTTTGTTTTTCAGTTTTCCTTATAACTTGCAAATAGATACACTACTTAATATTTGTTATACTTGGTAACACAGTAAAAAATGGAAGACAGCAGATCCATTTCAAAAGTTAAAAAAAAATTCTTCCTTGTGTGAAACTGCCATTGGCTATTTAGGCTATTAAAGTTGAAAAGTCTGCTAAGATTTTTGGGACACTGTATTTTTTGTCAGTATAATCTGAAGCTAAATAACCTTAGTAGTCTGACTTTGAATTATGTCATTGCTTACTGTCCCCAAGTGATAGCATTTTAGGGGAAGGTCTTGTCCTTCTTTATCTTCAAGGTGACTGTAGCAATCTGGAGAAAGGTCTTCTGTGACAGTACCAGAAGGAAGGCCTCAGTGATTGATGCCTGATATTTAAATAAACAAAACTACTCTTGCTGTCAGTGTTTTCAAAAAAATCTCCCGTTTTATAGGAGCTATAGTGAAAACAAGGGAAAGTTCTTAATCTTTTGATTTACTTTGTGAACCAGTATTTTAATGTTCTAGAAAAGCTTTCTTCCTGTGGATAAAGTAATAAGCCAATAATATGAAATACTTGAGGTTTGTAGCTTTTTTTTCTAAAAAAAAAATTTTTTTTTTTAAGGCAGTTGGGGTTAAGTGACTTGCCCAGGGTCACACAGCTAGTAAGTTTCAAGTGTTTGGTCTGAGGCCAGAACTCAGGTCCCCCCTGACTTCAGGGCCCTCTATCCACTGCACCATCTAGCTGCCTGAGGTTTGTAGCTTCTTAACAGCTTGATCAGAGGCATGCTTTTGAAACTGACCACATTTTGGATATATTTTAAAAAATGTCTACTAAATAGATATGTCTTATTTTCAAGAAGTTAATATCTTAAATGTGTGTAATTCCACTATCCCTGCTATCACTTATCATCCCATATGTATCCTCTTCTTAGCCAAACTCCTTGGAAAAAGCTGTATACACTCAGTGTCCCACTTCCACTCCTCAACTTTTTTAAACCTCTGAATTCTGACTTCCAAAATTAATTAACTGAAACTGCTTTTTCCAAAATTATCAACCAGTCTCTTAATTACCACATTCAATGACCTCTTCTTAATCATTATCCTTGCTGAAATATCTGTAGCTTTTGACTATTGATTGCCTTTTCCTCCTGGATACTCTCCACACTTGGTTTTTATGACATAGTTCTCTTTTGGTTCTCCTACCTAAGGAACTACTACTCACTCTTCTTTGGTGGATTTTCATCTATGGTATGCTCCATCTGTAAGTGTACCCCAAGGCTCAGCCATTGGTGCTCTTCTTATTTCTTTCTACGTTCTCTCACTTGGTGACCTCAATTTCCATAGGTTTATTTATCATCACTATGAGGATGATTTTGTTAGCTATTTGTCATACTTAGTTTGAGTTCCAGTCATGTCACAAACTAGCTATTGGACATTTTTAACTGGATATCTCTTCATTTCAAGTAAAACATGTCCAAAATAGGACTTATTATTATCTTTTCCTGCAAACTCAAATCTCTTCCAAATTTCCTGATTTTTGTTGGAAGTGGAATCTTTCCATTTTCCTAGGATCCCAACCTCATTGTCATCCTCTACTCTTCATTCTGTCATCCCACATATAATAATAA